TCCCTTTCAGATTGAGACATCGTGAAAATCGGTCGGGGATGGCCCGCCAAGATGGTTCGAAGTTGTAATCGGGATAAGTAGCGATATATTGTGCACTGTTTGGGTTTCCAAGAGGATAAGAATTCGATAAAACTTTTACACGGCTGGTGCATTTCCGCTCATCCTTGTCTTATCGTGGCATGAAATGCCACAAAACCCAACCGCGGCTCGCACTTCGCTAACCTTGGTAGAGTTATCAGTATCGCAATCGGCAATCGTGGCCTGCTTGTAGCTTTGTAGGTAGATTTGGGAGAACCGAGAAGCCAGCTTCATGTTCTACCTATTGGTAATCGCCTACTCAACCTCTGTAAGCATGATGAGTGCGACTGATGTCTTTTTCCAAGTCACCAGTACCTTCTGCCAGAAGTCTTTTTGTGTGATGGACAGCCAATAAGAGCGGACTTCTCAGAGCTGCTACCATGCGAATTGCTGGACGGCCAGGATATTCGAGGAGCTCATCATTACTGCTGTTCGATACAGTACTGTTGATGACCCTTCCCGACGGCTGGAGCGCCGAAGGCTGACCACCCCTACCTCATCGATGTCGACCCGGAATCATGTTATCGGCGCATCTTGTGTCTGCTGACGCTCCCTCTCCAATATTGCCGTAGCCTGATGCTAATCAAGAAAAACAAATGGAAACCTTACGTGATCTTCGAGGTTACCAAACACCAAGCGGCTTGCAAGTTGAACATGGCTGGCAGATAAAGATTACTCCGACATTTACCTTGATGGAGTATTAAAGGTGAGTCTGTTGGAACTCTGAATTGTACGAATTCTTGTGTGCGGCCAGCTCTAGGCTCCTGTCTCGCACTTTGCGTTTGACGTCCATCCCTCCAGATCGCAAAAAGCATGGGCGCCATGCATACGAGTGTGCCGTGGTTCCGCGAGAAAGCACTACCTACACAAGTTCTAAGGCATCATCTTCCAGTCATCATGGTTAATGACGTTGCTATCGCACGCTTGATTGGAGTTGACATACGACGATGGCGCCGCAGAGATGGAGCTGTATTTATGATGGCGAGCGCGCGATTATTTGAGGCGGGTTGTCAAGTGCGGAACGAAGCGGATGTCGCACTAACCCACTGAACGGCGATGTCGACGACGGCCACCTCAATCTTGGAAGCTATATCTATCCCATTACGAACTCTCGAATGCGAATGCGAGCTCTACCCACTTCAGCGAAGATTTTGATTCGATATCGTCTTGATTCAACTGGGTATAGTGTGGGATCATCCTTGCGTGAGAAGATTCTCCCGACCCACCAACGAAAGCATCGTCCACGTACCTCACATCGCATTCGCGTTCTCCCTCATCCTGCGGCTTGGGAAGACTTCGAGACGGTCCGTTGCGACGATAGCCTGATCGGTCGGTTCATCGTCGAGGCCCAAAGCTCTGGTCTCCGGTCACGTAGCCCGCTGCAATGCCACGCCTCGGCCACAAAAAGTCCGTAACTGTCACCCCACCCTTACCAATTGCCATCCCACAAATCAGTAACATCAAGCCGTTGCATCCCCGTTCATCCCCGTTCGATATGTCAAGCTCTCCATGTGCTCTTGTCTAACCTAGTTCCTTCTTATAGATCACGGTTAGGCTGTCGACAATGCAAGGCTCGTCACGTTAAGGTAGGGTGCATCATATTTAATCAAGCACTACATGCTTATATAGAGTCGATACTGAAGTAGCTCAGTGTGATGAACTCAAGCCGTGCACCAATTGCGCTCGCCATGGCGTCCCGTGTAGCCTCGTCGTATGGGATCCCAATACATACCAGCCTACCGCTTCGGCATCTTCCGCAGCCTCTTCATCGCGACGTACGAATCAGTCACCGCCCGAACGATCCATAGCTGTACGACCCACAAACTGGCGTTTCGCATACTAGAGCTTTTCTCATTGGTGTAACAGGACTCTTCGGCATCTTCAACGCCTGCCGCTCATACAGGCTACTCGCGCAACCCGTTGACCGCAGCCGGAGCAAGGGCCGTGTCGACAATCTCGGAGGAGGATTCCTCCGACTCTGATGCATACCCCTTCTTGTCTAGATATATACATGCTGGTCAACCGTCTCAGTCTTCACTATGGCTGCGAGACTTGGAACTCTTGTAAGTCGGCTTAGCTTGGGCAAGAATTGTTACCAATTATCTTTAGACATCACTGGACAACGGAGGCGTTCGATGGGCTATCCCAGAGACCTGATCTTCGAAATATGTGGCGAGTAGAGGCTCCTAAACACGCCAACGCGCACGACTATTTTATGCATGAGATTCTAGCCTTTGCCGCGCTGCACAAGGCGTACCAGCAGCCTTCGGATCAACGCCAGCCATACTACGCTTGCGGTATACATCACCAGGATCTTGCGATTCGAGGTGTCCGCGAGAGGCTCCATAACGTTACAAACGAAGAGGCTCCGGCGATTGTGGCTACGTCAACGCTTCTGACTTTAAGCGTCTTTGCTTCAACAGGATTTGAGGCTCAGTCCGCACCCACTACTGCAACAGTAGACGGCATCGATAGCATCATGAATGCCTTCCATCTTATGCAGGGTATGGGACATGTTCTTGCGCTAGCTCAGGCCGCAGTGAGAGAGTCTTTTGTCGGCCCTATGTTGAGAGATCCGACAGAACCTACTGCATCTCAACCGATGCTCCAAGAGTTGAAGGGCCACTTGCCTGCACTGACTGCATTTATCGGAAGCAAGACTGATCTTCCGGAGGCTGAACGAAAATTATATCTCACAACCATGGCATACTTTGAACCAGCTCTTCAAATATCGTTACCTCCTCGGGTCGATAATCGGGAGCTACGTTTCCTGTTCTTTTGGCCTCTCCACTTGGACCCAGAATTTATGGAATCTCTTCGACAGCGGAGATCAGGCGCTATCGCAATTCTGATGCATTTCGCGGTTGTACTCCTCGCCGCTGAGCCTCGATACTGGTTCATGGAGGACTGGGGCCATCGTGTGATGAAGGCATGCCAGAAGGTCATCGATCAAAGCTGGATACCTGCTGTACAGTGGCCTCTGTCGTTTCTCGACCAAGTTCCAACATGGGATTTGTTCGCAAATCTTACACGCCAAGGACAGAGTTCTGGACCGTTAACGAACACGTCATCTACATTACGGCAGCCGACAGTCATTCCTCAACAAGAGCCTACCCCTATGGGATCTTCCGCTTCCCATGGCGAGGCGCCACAGCCCTTCTCTTTGCAACTACAAGGCACGAAGTATGCCGTTCAGATGGGTAGCGCAGTCGACGAACAAGTTCCAGACGAGGACTAATCCCTAGTTCTGCCTCCACGTCGTGCAGTGGCTAGACCAAACATAACAACCCAATGAATTTGCAGCCGGTGCTATATTGCGCATGAGCGTGGCGCGAATTTTCACCCATGATCACGACGTTGCCGTGTTATGGACCTGCAGTTCTCTAGCGGCAGCAAGCAGCGAAACCTCGGGTACATCCCAAGAGGACGGTGCTCCCGGCTAGGTACCCGCATTAATAGCGGCAACTCGATGCACACCACGGCCGGCAATGCGAAAGAGATCGACGGCCAATAAGTACTTTATTGCGGCGTAGTCGTTGCAATTCCAATTACTCTAGCACGACGTCATTGCAAGCTACATATCATGTGTAGGACGTCAATACGAATGAGCATGTAATTATCAGCGCTTCGATCCTATGATGGCTTTGCATCGCATCTCGCCCACTGAGCAGCCCGCATGCCAAGACGCAACTCTCGTTTTTGCAATATATATGCCGACTTGTATGAACGCCCGCCACTACGTTGCTTACACGAAAGCTGTCCAGGCAGGCTTACACGTGCCGTGTTTCTGCTCATCGCAAGAGTCATCGCATGTCCATTGCCCACCTAAGCCCAAGCACCATCTCAACAACTCGCTCATGCGATCGGTATGACTATGGAGAATTGCCACGTCAATATTGCTCAACGACATACCAGGCTGACTTTGCCTTCCATTGCACCCAATATGCGACCCGTGTTCTGTGTGACAGCCCCCAAAATGCTTTCTTTTCGCTTCTCACTCACGATCCAGACCCGTGCCGCTTTCTCACGTAAGTCGTATGCGGGGCTACTGCGCGATACTTTAGCCAGCCGCTGGAATGACTGGTAACAAAGAACGGTGGCGTATACTGTCATCCCATGTGCGCGCGCCTTCCTCTTTCGACATAATGGAGGATGGGGAATGCTGAGCCTCATTGTTGGTGACGAGACATTTTCATTGTTGTCTGAGAAGGTATACGAAGGTGGAAATTCGACCAATACCTCTATGAATGATATCGATAAGTCCCGCGTCCTCGCGCTGCGGTCAAAATAGCGACAGCAACAGCAGATGCAGTTCTGATGCTTCCACCATGTGCCCTGGCCAACGTGGATGCGCATGCAGCGACGATCCTTACTGCGACCAACGCGGCAATTCGGTATTGCCGTCGCGAGTCAAATGGGAACGATGCGCATATTGAAGATCTTCAGTAGTGTTCTATAGCTCCTACATGTCCGAAGCTAGAAGATCCGTTCTCTAGGATGTAGCCACTGGTGTAGGGAGCATACGATATTGCACGGTGGGGCTGCAGATGCAGTACTGTTTTTACGATGCTGTACTGCATGGGAATCGTAACGCGTACTACGCAAAAGCGTTCGGTTGTTGTGAGACGCCGGAAAACTATTGAAAGGTGCTGATGCTGTGAACTTCGTGTGCTGCGCAAAGATAGCAATACGATGTACTATTACAATACAGTCATAAAGAGTGTACTAGTGGGTATCTCAATCATCCAATCGTAATAAAAACCACCAAAGAAAGATCAAGAATTGAACTGGAAATGTCGTACTTTCGGATGAAAATGGTAAGGAGCCAAAAAGCATGACACAAAGCAATGAACCATCTAGAAACACAGGAAGAGCGTGCAATCAAGAAGTCACCACGGTGTCGCAACCGCAAACGACGGCCTTCAAGCTGGTGACATCGGTCTGTTTGGGTCGTCTTCACTTCTCCGCCAGCGTTCTAGCTCTTCAGGTGTCGGCTGAGAGACCGCTGTGCTGTCGCTTTGGATAGTCGTGTCGCTCAGTCCCCTAGTGTGTGACGGCCGTCGATGCATTGCAGATTCCTCCGCATGTTCAGTGCCTCCAGATTGTCCTCCTGCCTTCGCTCTAGCAATTTCCTCCGCAGTGGCTGGCGCACCAGGTTCTGCTTCTGATTTGGCCGCATCAGTACCAGACTCCGCTTCTGACGCGTTCTTCTTCGCCAATACTTCATCGATGTTTGTCGAAAGTGAATTGTCGCTCGGACTTCGACTGTGCGGAGGTTTCTGGAACGGTTTCGGGTCTTCGTTCTTTTTGGGCAAGGAGTTTATCGCATCTTCACCAGGGAGTTCTGCAATTGGCGTGCGCGGTGTGTTGTTGCCGGACGAGCCGCGATCGCTGGGCCCACCCTGGCGTCGCGTCCTACCAGCGGCGAAATAGTCGACGGTTTCATGGCCTTCGGGTGGAGGGCTATAAAGCTCGGCAGGATTGCTTTCGGGTGATAGTTCGCTGATAGGAGGGATAGACTTGTGGTCAGCGTTGTAGTAGCCAGTTGTAGAATCTTTCGGTGACTGGAGAGTTTCGGAACCAGTGAGCTCTGAAATACGGCGATATTTGATCTCAGTGCCTGCATAGGTTGTATCGATCTCAGAAGGCTTCTCCGCTTCTTCCTCAGCCTTTCGCTTCTTCGCCTGCCCGCGTTTTCGCCACAAGAAGAAGACGCCTATGGCGACTATAATGAAAGCGCCGACGATACCGACAACAATCCCGGCGATCGCACCAGCCGAGAGACCACCTCCAGAGCCAGGATCGTCTGGGACGGGTAGCCCCGTAAAGTCTCTGTCGAAGATTGTGGCTAAACTCGGATTTGGCATTGGGTCAGGAAATGCGGCTGGAGCAACGGTGAAGTTTTGGTGTTCATAATCGACAACGATATACGCTTCTTGCAGAAATGTGCGTCCTAGGACGAATTTTCCGTTCTCTGTGCGTCTTATAGGAAGGTATCGTGTCTGATTGGAATAGAACGGCCAACTAGCTTGTTGATCCAGAGCCGAGTATGGTAGGACGATGGATGTAAAACTTGTGCTTTCGATGTCAGGATTGGCGCTAATCTTGAAGGAAACACTCGCGTCAAGTCGTAGGTTTTGCTGGTGCGATGTCTCATTGACAGTGTATAACTGGGTATTTCTGTCGAATGTCAGACCGAAAGCGGTGACAAATTCGTCGCATACTTCGTCCGGCAAGATAAGGTATGGAAACGTAGAGTCAATCGTAGCGGGGAAGCCTCCTGTCTTGTTGGTGAATGAGAATCGGTTGGCTTCGAGTTCCTGGTCTGGCTTATAGGTGATGGAATTGACACCCACAGCAAGTGTGTTGTTCTGCTTGCTAGGCATACTAATCGAGACGCCACTTTGCTCAGACAGCCGTGTTCTATCGTAACCACCGAACACCAAGCTCGCGGGGTATCCGTTGTTGTTGTTACCTGTACTTATCAGCATTCTGGCTTTGTGGAGGTCGTTTGCAATGGCAGTAGTAAATACGTGTTTACTCCGCATGATGTACTCACGATAGTAGGCACCAGCCGTGTATCCAAACGAGCGACTCGCAATCTTGTGCGCACTTCCGTACATGTTTTCGATGAAGTTTGGCTTGAATGCCCCAGGCGGACCAGTGGACCCTACTGCCAGTCCCAACGAGCCCATGAAGAAGTTGGAGATGGCATACTGCGTGACATATTGAACCGGCATAATGAAACTTTGTGGTGTGCTAAGGCCCAAACCTACATTATCCTCCCCCCAAACCGCGTTTGGATCTCCCTCCACTGTGATATTGTACCATTCAGGCAATGGAAAATTGTATATTCCAACTTCCTTCCATTGATGAGACTGGGAACCATCGAATCCCAAAGACTGACTGCTGCCGAACGATACGATGCCGCGATTTGCTGCGCATTGATCCTCGGTGGGAGAAAAGCACCAGTCAACTCTTTGTGGTACTAAGGTAGTTCCCAAGGAGGTGGATATAAGAACCTTGAAATTTTGTCCATTGCTGCTGTTTGTACGGTCATCGCCGATGTTGATGGGGAATGTTGACCACCTTCCGTCGTTGCCTTCCCAATCGCCGCTCGGACTCAGAACATAGGGCGTGGGGGGAAGTTGAATATTCTCAGCGCGCTTGTGAAAGAACATCATAGCAACCAAGCATTGCGGATTGCGATAAACTGAAGGTCGTTCGATTGACAAGAACAAATTAAAGATGAGTACGGGCACAAGGCGTAGAAAAGACTAACATCATGTCAGCTACTATAGTCAACTAGCGGCAGCCTCGACTTTAGGTCAGCTGAAGCTGTAGGTGCGGCAATACTGAGATTGAGCCGCGACTCTCTTACACAGTGCGCACCAGCACTCAATAAACAATAGTCTAAACGTCCTCATCCACGCTGCTTGGATCGGTTAAACATCGATTCGCCTGGCCGTCAAAGGCGCGTCAAGCCCATCTGCTTATTGTGGGTGCAAAGCGCCCGTGCCTCAGGCGGGGTAGAGGCACGGTATCGCCAGGGCGCCCTGAGGTTGCATATTACCTGTGGAAGAGAAACACTGTGACTGGACATGGCGACACCGGTGAAGGGGCACAGGTTGTGTGGGCGCCATCTGTTGTCCTATTGGGGGAAGATTCGGTGTAGCGGGATCGCGACAGGCATTCCATCGAGAGCCTGGATGGGAATCGCTGTTGAGCAGGGCCGCAGAAAGGCTGCATGCTGAGGTGGCTGGAAAGGCAGACCTCGAGAGAGACCTTGACAGCCCGCGGAAAGGCGTTGGAGCTTGACTGGATACAGTCATTAGGGCCGCTCGATGATCTTACTCAGCGGGAGCCAGCAGCCCAATCGCGCGAGCCACTGCCCCACTGTCCCGTAGAGCACGGCCCTCGGTTCTCACGTGCATGCACCTCCACCCACACCCTGCATCATGCCCTGATTACGGTCACTCTTCTTGTCACCCTGCGCAACCACTCTCTATAAGAGAAGAATTCGTACAGGCTATCATGCTAGGGCCGTGTAACCAGTGCGAGTGTGGCGTTTGATATCAGTGGATCAGTGTAAGGGCCGCCCTTTTACTTCCAGCGCACTCTTTATTTCGGCCCCCAGAACACTGCCTTCACCAGGATTTTGTTTGGCGCCAGAGCCTATCGCTGGTGATTATAGGCTGCAGAACACTAGCCTATACGAGGGAGCTTGCTAGCTTTATGCGGCCTCACATGTATCCATGTCAGCAATCGCCATGGATGGGACCACCATGGATGGGATTTTCAACTTTGCTCCAGACCTCTGGGTAGTATAACGTCCCGCCTTACCTACGGCCGTCCGGCCATTGTCATTATGTGGACCGGATGCGACACTACCTCCCGGGTATCCACCAAGACATTTGTGGTCTTATTCTGCGGCTCTGGCTTTGGTGGCAACCTCTCACCATTGAGTCGTGCCGGCTGTATTGCTTAAAAAAGACCTAGGCAATCTGGGTTAACTTCGATACTGCGACCAAGCCCGGGCGTTCTTGGACGGCAAGCGGTCAGGTAGATCTATGCCTTCGGCTTGGTTGTTCTGCTTCCGGCCTTGTGTGTACACACCCTAGTGAACAGGATTACTGTCGAAGCTCGAGTAATCCCAGCCTCGCCAAAGAATCCGTATACCTAGATGCTGCCGTCATATGCAGGCCTGTTGTTAGCTTCGTCATCGTTTTATAGTTACCCGTTCCTGCCTACTTCCTTCTCCTTCCCGAGCCTCCAGCCCATCTTCCGTCGCAAGGTATGTGATGCTCCCTTTGGTACCCTATTCTTGTTGTTCTTGATCTTTATACTATTCCAATTGGAGACGAAGGCATCTCTTCGCGAACAACGCTACATCCACTTTGTCGCAGAGAGCATGGACCTTACTTTGTTTATATAGCGCTTCAATCCCTCTGGAAACCCCATCACGTGTCTAACTTACTTGTCCAGCTCCAAGCTGTGTGTCATTCGTTCAACCGGCGTAGCAGTCTGTCGCTTCAAAATGCGCACTTATTGGCCTCTCCTTCTGGCTTTGACCAGGTCAGCTCAAGGCCAATATAACAGTACAGTTCTGGGTGCTCAAGCGACGCCATCGCCGCCCTCATCTTCAGCGGAAGCTGCTGAGGAGACTTTCCAGGCGCAAGGTGGAGGGTATGGCCAGGGCAGCACTTGCAAGACCACGAGCACGATATACGAATATGGAAAGCCTTCCACCTCCACTATCAAAGTTACTGTCACTTCACCTCAGACATGTCCAAAGCCGGTCACCAAAACCCAGACTGTCACCTCGTCGCAAGGATATGGTGGCGGGTATCCTGTAACTGTCACAGTCACGTCTACGAAGGAAGTCACCAAATCTGCCGGAAACAATCCTTCCCCACCAAAGACGATCACTGTCACTTCTACGAAGGAAGTCACCAAATCTGATGGATATAACACTCCCCCCAAGACGATAACTGTTACAACTACCAAGTCTGGTTATACCACGGTCACTTCTCCCGGATACTGCGCAAATCCACCTCCCATAACTACTACAAAGGTATGTTTGCCCTTAGACTACACTTAAACACATACTGACTGAGAAAGACCAAAACTGTTACTGAGTCATCATATTGCTCTGTCAAGCCCCCTGTGACCGTGACTCAGGTGAACAACTCTACCATCACAAAGGTACTTTCCCTTCTCGCAATGATTCCAGGTCATCACTGACGAACTAGACCGAGCATGAAACCGTTACGGGCCCCACGACAACAATAAATAACACCATAACCCAGCTCACAACGCTGACACTGACTTCGACAGTGGTCACGGTAAGTAGTCTCTCCTGGAATTTCCCTTGGCTTGCTGGTGCTCTACCCATCTATCACATGACATGATGTCGCTTGCTTGTTGCAATAACTCGACCTGCTGCCTTTCTGTCGAACCGCAAGTCGTTGGAGTTCACTAACATGCTTACAGCTGGTCCCAACTACTGAAACTAGTTACACAACGACCACAGATTATAAGACAACTACAGACTACAAGACTACCACGGAGACTGACACCACCACGAAAACGGACACTACCACGGCAACTGATACCACCACGCAGACCGATACTACCACAGAAACCGACATCACCACGCAAACTGATACTACCACGGAGACTGATACCACTACGGAAACCGACACCATCACGCAGAGCGACACCACCACGCAAACCGACACCACCACGCAGACCGACGTTTCTACTACGGTCAGCGTCTCTACGTCTACCTACACCTCTGTTACCACTTACTCTACTACGCTCTACGAGACTATTACGCAGACACTACCGGGAACCACTTCCGTCACAACAGAGACAGTCGTCTCTACAGTCACGGCAACGCTTACCCTGACTGACTACATTTCCGTGACCCAGACTGTTCCTGGACCGACTGTGTCAATTCCAGGCCCAACAGAGACTACAGTGCAGACAGTCTCAGTCCCTGGGCCTGTCGAGACGGTATCAGTACCTGGACCTATCGAGACCATCATCAGTTTTCAGCCGACAACGACAACAGAGAGGATCAGTATAACGACAACCTCTCTTACGACTAGTATATCTACTTCAGTATCAACTTCGACAACCACAGAGTTCATTGTGACTACGTTTACTCAATCTGGTACCACAATCACTAGTACCGAGACGGTCACCTCTGAAGTGTTGATCACGACTACGTTCACACAGACTCTGCCAACAACTGTGACTTTGACATCTGATCGGACTTTCATCATCACAACTCCAGGTCCCACGCAGACCGTCGAAGAGACCGACACCGTTACTACGACAGTTGAAGAGACGGATACTCTTACCCAGACAGTAACCGAGGTGTCCACTTCACTCAGCACTCTAACCCTGCCACCACAAGTCATCGTGACTACAACCACCCTCGAGGGTGAGACTTCAACAATCACAACTCAGCTCCCGCCTAGCACGGTAGTATCAACGATCGTGTCGACTCTCACTTTCCCGCAGGTCACAGTGACTTCTGTCAGCGTCTCGCCTCCTGAGACCGTGATAGAGACATTTACACGGCCAGGCCAGATTACTACGACAACTTTGACTCTTCCCGGAAGCACGACAACGTTCACGACGCAACTCCCTGCGAGTACTGTGCTTTCTACCATCACCATACCTGGCGACATCACAACTACCACCGTACAGCTTCCGGGCACTACATCCGTTATCACTACTCAACTTCCCGCGAGTACTGTGGTCTCGACAGTAACGCTCCCGGGTGACGTAGTCACTTCCACGATCCAGTTGCCTGGAGAGACCTCCATTGTGACTAGCCAGCTACCAGCCAGCACTATTCTCTCGACGTTAACTCTATCTGCTGTTACCTCTACGGTGATCAGCCAGCTGCCGGGAAGTGTCTCGACAACTACTCAGCTAGCAACTGTCACATTACCAGGATCCACAGTTTTGAGCACTATCTCTCTTCCCGGCTCGACCTCGGTATCTACTGTAACCTTACCTGCAACGATCTCGGTCTCTACTATCCTGATCACACAGTCGTTCGTTACCACTCAAGTGCAGCCTACGACGATTGTGCAGACATTGACACCGAGCTCATCTTCTACGACGCCTGCATCTTTTTCCTGCTCTAGCGAATGTCAGATTGATGTTACCGCAACCATACTAGAGTTTCCTGGAACGGTTGTGACTAGTACCACATTCATACCAACAGTCACTCTCCAAGTTTACACAGATGCTACGGGCAGTGCTGTCAGCTCTTCCTTGGTCACCATTCCGCTAGCGACTCAAACAACGACTACAATTACATGGGAGTACTCCGGCGTGCCCTTGACTTACCCCACAACGTATCTGGCCTATGAAACATTTAGCCATCTAGAGGTTTCAGCAGTAGGGTCAGTTTGCGTGACTGAAACTGACACTTTGACATTACCGGCGCCTACGAACTACGCATCCCTCATCGTGCCGCTGAACGAGGTTTCTGATACAGCATACGTAGCGCCAACGGTAGTTGAATATCTGAACCAACAGCCAACCATCACTGCTCAGCTTGGCCAGACAATTGGTCCAGATGCGTGTGATCCAGCCGACGGTGGCGGAAGCTTTTCGACCGGCGTTCAATCTCCACTCGGGACTATCACTGATCTCACCAGCCAAGCAGCCCTAGGCTCTACAAGAACGGTTTCATTGCCAACAGCACAGGGTCAGGTTTCGCCACCTTCTGGAGCTCCAACCACTACAAGCACTGCACCAACGAGCAGCGCTGCTCCTCCAAGTTCAGTGCCGCCACCACCTCCCCCAACTTCAAGTAGGCTACCCCCTCCACCTCCTTCTTCCAGCGCAACCCCAGTTCCTAGCAGCTCGCCACCACCTCCATCGAGCGTGGCACCACCACCTAGTAGCCAAGCGCCATCGTCATCTAGTACTGTTGTTCCACCATCCAGCGTTGCGCTCCCACCAACAAGTATCGCGCCTCCGTCAAGCAGCATTGCTGACTCCGCGTCTGAAGGTCCATCGCCATCCTCCATGCCCTCGTCGTCTGCCTCGCCTCCACCCCCCGAACCATCAACAGTTCCTGAACCATCGAACGTCGTCGAACCTTCTTCCTCATTGGAAGCTCCCCCCTCTGCGCCTCTCTCCTCGATCCTCGTATCAAGCCGCACGTCTACGCGCTCGACTACTACTTCGGAAGGCAGCTCATCTGTTCCTCAGAGTTCAATGTCTGAGTACACTGGAGGTGGTGCCTTGCCAACAGGGCATATCGCAGGTTTACTCCTCGGAGCTGCGGGCCTTGGTCTGGGGCTGTTCTAGTCGCTTGATTGGGAAAGTAAGGACCAGTAAATAGTTTTCAATGTTTGATGTTTAATGCAATAATGCTCGACAATGGGTTAGTGCACACCTCTACGGATGTGGTGGATGTAATGTTAGGCTCAACAAAATGCTTCATTTCTACCAATCTAATATGTGAATGCCCTTCCATCTCATGTCACGAACATATTGCTATATACTGAACTGCTGTATCGTCTCTGCTAAAATTACTTACCATTTGAGGTAGTGGCCGTCCCTACGCTCTTTCCGCAGCAATCCTCCGTCCTTGCCCCACTTCGTGCCCTCTCCTCCAAAACCCAACAACCTTATCTCAGCCTTGCCGTACCCCTCACCCCCTCAACCCAAGTGACATCCATCGGATCCAAGCCTCCAATACTACGATCCATCTTAGCATTCTCACCTACAGCGTTCATCCAAGTACAAACGCAAGTTAGACGTGCAAGCCAAGCTTTTCCCTTCAGCTGAGTTGTTGAGCGCCACAGACAGACGCCACCAGATGCGGAGATGGGCCGATGACCACCCAAATTCCGGATCCGTGGAGCGACGTTGACCTGCGAGGCGACCCGCGCATGCAACATTCTCGGTGTGGGTTCGCCGGATATGGAAGTAGCGGCTGAGTACGAGACCGTTGAGCGTTGTTGGTGGTGTTCTGTGGGCTGAGCTTGGCTCTGGTCCTTCGAACAGCACATGTTGCTTGGCGTCGGAGAGGTGATTGCGAGGGAGGTGTAGCGATCCTGAGTGGGGATATGGGAAAAGTAATACTGATACAGCACTTGGCATTCTGCGCGGTTGACGTGAGTCGTGACGACGCATGCCATTATGGCGATTTGATACGTCGATTTCACTTTCCCGGATGGATAAATGTCAAGCTCGAAGCCTTGATATCGAGGAGGATTCCGAACACCCAATCCTGGGTTGGTGTGACTACAATTTCGCAAAGATGTGAACGCCATGAATAGCAAAATGAAGCATTAACATCCCGCAGCTTTGGAGGTTAGCGAAAGAGCCAGTCGGAGACACATTAACCAACTCTGTCGTGGTATCTGGCCGCACGACGCCTTTCATATGAGCAACGTAAGTTCTAGGGTCCGGAAATTTGCAACCTGTACAACTCTCTTGAAGCTATGGGTATAGATCAATGAGCTACAACGAAGGCAGCAGCGACAAAGGTGTTACCGATCTTCTTGTATCACTGAGGAAGACCGTGGGCGTACGTCATGTTTGTGGTATCGGTCCTGGCATGTGTGTCCAAGAATGCGCTCTTGATTGCATATCCATGAGCCAGCATGGTGAGACTGTTTCTGGTGACCGTTGCAAGTTCCTCCTAGCAGTTCGAACTTGTAGACTTGCACATGAGATCTGGGACGGTTCATCGTCGATGATACTCTGCAACTCTTGGATGATCTGGCAAATGCTTTCTTCTTAGATTTGACGACACCTGAGTGGTCTTCGAACCATCTTGCATGCTGTTCCGAAACCGTTGCTTAGCATTCTTTTTGTCTCATGGCTGATTCCTTCTTGAGCTTTCGTAGCTTGGCTTACCTTGCGTTGAATCTACCACGACATGGCAGTAGTAGTTTCCCAGACCTTTGCGTTTTCTTTTCCGGCCTGTCGATTCAATCAATTCATCCAAAGTCTTACCGCCTTTGTTCACAATCGCGGTGTCGGTGGAAGCTCCCATATTGAGTGCCACCTCATACGCCCACATATTTACATCGACTTCGTCTTCGCCTCCGATCTCCCATACGGTTAAATACATGCTCTCAACAGATAAAGCGTTGCCGGCTATGTTGACAACGCTTTGTTGCCCCTCCACTTCTCGGAACGCATTGTCTGCGTCAGGCAATTGGATTAAAATACTGGCCGGTCATTAGTAACAGTTGTCTGATGTCCCGCCGCGGAATAGGCCAACGATAGTCCATCCTACAATCCCTCCCTATTCTTATGTACATAGGAATCTGATCACATCTTTTTAGCAGCTGTCGTAGATCTTGAGTGCTTCCGCATCTGTTGTTCTGATGTCGCTAGTGATTACGTCTGATAGGCGGTCAGTATATCTCAACATGTCATAGAGTTTGTATTAGTTCTTTGATTGCATCCTCATGGAGATTCTAGTTGAGAATCTTGTATTGAGACTGGCGGAGGTTAGAGGATGTTTTTTGACCAGTATCGAATTTACAGGGCGACTTGAAGTGTGCTACACAGAATTTTGCGCACTCCTGTCAGATGCTGATTGTTTAGAAGAGGAAGTGTCCCGCGCGGGTTCTGATTCTCTATGTGCATTCTCCTGCTGCTCTCACTGTTTCCCGGAACTCATGGTGTTGGATTCTCATATTAGTTGAGGTATAGTGAAGAATAGTGAGAGTACTCGATCATAGCGCTGTTAGAGCTTGCGTCGAAAGTTTTACGGAGCTTGCGTTTAAGGTCCTGTGGAGAGTCGTGAAAGTTGAGCGGAAGATCGAGAGCCGGAAGATATGAGCAAGCGCGTGTGGCCTTTACTATGATAGTAAGATACTCTGACTCTTCAATCAGCGATGATGGCATGATAAGTACCAGCGACCAAGCCTATTAGAGTATCTTGCTGTAGAGGGTAACGCGCAAAGTGGAAGTTTCATCGCTCCGACAGAAAACCTATATTCGATAGTGATATGCTAGATAGAAAAAGTACGAAGAAAAACTTATCATGTATCACGACTAACCATAGAACGATTATCATATTGTTGTAAGCATGAAGAACGACGACGATTCAGGATAGGTTTGCGTTCGTAAAAAGTCCAATAGTGATCGTGGCGCCAAAACGGTTTCAGACTTCGCTCCTGAAAAGGTGGCTGGAAGGATGAAGATAGGAGAGAAGGAAAGACTAGGAGAAGAAGCGATTCAAAGTTCTAGAAGTTCAGACGTGTGGCAACAAACACGATATCCATTCGAGATGTGAGGATTCATATACACACTGCTCTCAAAAACGCAGGGTCGATAGCTATGCTTTTACCATACTATGCATACCTCTCCAATACTTCCGCAATCTTTTCCCTCACGCCCTGCTTTCCCTCATACTTCTCCAATAGCTTAGCAACAACATCCTCTCTCTTCTGTCCACTCGCTTCTCTCAGAATCTCTCCCTCCTTCGGCAGTCCAATCCACGCGTGCGGGTACTCTTTGTAATCTGTCTCGCTAATCAGAGGCAATGGCGCTCCTTCACTTCCAGCAAAGAAAGCATCCACATCGTTGTTCTTAACGTCCTGCAGAGTGTTGGGTTTCCAGTTTGGACGCTCCTTCTTGCGCTCTACCAGACGTGCTGTTACGCCCTCGACGAAATCGGGGTGAGCCATGAAGCGGGAGGCGATGTCGTATTCCTTCTGGAAGGTTTGCGCGATGGACCACTGGCGGCCGATGCGCATCTGACGGAGGGCTACAGAGACAGAGATTGGCGACCGGCTGTTGATAGTCTGAATAGTCTTGTCGGCCCACTTCTGGATCTCCGGGTCGTTGTGCCCAGTCTTGACCTGCTTGAGCGATTCCATAATGTTGCTGATACCCGGCTGGTCGTCATGGAAGACGGTGTCGATGACCTTACGCAGTTCGCCCGAGATGTGCGGTCGCTCGGCGGGAAGGCCAGTGCTGAACTCTTCGATTGTAGCGTTGATGATCTTGAAGCGTTTGTTGAGATCCATGTAGTCGGGGAATTGTAGTTCGGCGAGACGCGCCTCGAGTTGCTGGAGAGTGGAGGAGTGAATGTAGTGGGTTGCGATGCCGTGGTAGAAAGCGTCCACGCCCTTAAGCTGCTCAGATGTGAGGGCGAGGTACGTGCCGAGAGCGCCTTCCATTCGAGGAAGGAAGAAGGATGCGCCGACGTCTGGAAAGAAGCCGATGGTCGTTTCGGGCATGGCGAAGAGGGTGTTCTCGGTCGCGATTCGGAAGGGTGCGTGTATCGAAAGTCCAACACCGCCACCCATTGTGATGCCGTCCATGAAGGCGACATAGGGCTTTGTGTATGTTGCGATGAGGTGATCTAGCTTGTATTCCAGTCCAAAGTAGTCTGAGCTCATCTGTTGTCCCTTTGCTCCTTCCTTGTTCCACTTTGCCAGGGCAGCAACGTCTCCTCCCGCGCAGAAGGCGCGGCCATTGCCCTTAATTATAATGACGCCTGCCAATTCCGACTTTGCCCACTCTTGTAACCTCGGTATGATCTTGCGGGCCATGGAGCCATTGAGCGAGTTCAGCTTCTTCGGCCGGTTGAGCTCGATGCTACGTACGCCGTAGTTGTTGGTGAAAACGACATCATCGGGGTCATCGTCTTGCTGCGCTTTGAGAAGGTCTGCGGTGGGTGTGGCGTACTGTGTAATTGTTAGGGCTGGTCGTCTATAGTGGGCTGGAGGGGCGGCTGTACCTTCCTTGACCCGCTCATCCAGGCTGGATTTGTGATCTTTGCGCGCAAAGGCATGGCTTTTGTCGTGCTTATCCGCGAGACGCTGCTCAGCGGCGTTCTTGTTAATGTGCGAAGAGACATGTGTGCGTGTGTAGGTGAATGCGCGACGATGATGCAACTTTCACAGCTTCTGCCGACGAACCTCGGGTAGTCGCGCAAGACGGCTACAGGGCAACCAAGTTGTCAATTGATCTGTTCTAGCAGAGGGAGAGCACGTGGGAAGCCCGAGAAGATATCAGTCTGAAAGGTGACATATATTTACCGGGAAATGTCTTCCGCCCGCAATGCTCCATCGCTCTTTCTCAAAGTTGTCGAGCTCGGATCTCCCCCTCACATGATTGGACGATGCGCTACCATCTCGCGCTAAGAAAATGATTTGAGCCTCGCCATCTCCAGATATCATCGCCATCTCAAGCAATCGCATCCCTTCGTTCCTTCCGCATCGTGTGATCGGGTCAATCATGTCGAGCTTTTCCAGAGTTTTTCTGCGCACTACGCGCTCTGCTCTCCAGTACCAGCGTGGTGTTTCCCCAGTGCAAAATGCTTTGGGCGCGCA